TTAGGTGATAACAGTTCATCTTTATATCATGTATATGTTGTTTTATTTTTTCCTCTTCTTAAAAGCAGGTATATGGTATAGGTATGAATTCTCAATCTCTAGTATCCTATTTTTTCCTCTTCTTATTGTTTTAACGGCACTGGTCCCACTGGTGGGCATGCGGGCAAGTCGTGTTGTATCTGACCACAAGACTCACATGCTCTGTTGCGTGGCGAAAGGTTTTTCGTTAGATCCAATAATAAAACTTTGATCTTTGAAGTTTTTTATTAAACGTAACATTTTAATATATAATTTGGTAAAATATGAAGTTATTTATTAGGGGAAGGATATTGTGACAACCAAATTGTGTTATTACCAAGTGACTACCAATTAATTTCACCATTAGATCGATTATGTTGATCCTACAGTTATATTTATTTCCATCTTTGTATGGTCATTGTTTTCCAAATTTAATACTTTATATTTATTTCCACTTTTGTATGGTTATGATTTCTCATATTTAATAATTTCACTTTAAATTTGGGAAACCATGACCATACAAAGATGAAAATAAATATAACCGTAGGATCAACATAATCGATCTAACGGTGAGATTAATTGGTAGTCACTTGGTAGTAACACAACTTGGTTGTCACAATATCCTTCCCCTATTTATTAAGCCTAAAATATTAGGGTTCATTTTTTCTGTAATCAATGTAGATAAGTTATTTATATTGAGTCTAAAACAACGTAGTTTTGAGATAAAAATCAATATATATATGTAATTATAATTATTTCAGAGTTATAATAGTCTTTCTAATTATAATTTTTTAATCTTTCAACTCAAAACGACATCATTTTGGGAGTGATGTAGATAACTTATCTACATTCACTATAAATAACTTATTTATATTCACTGATAAACAATTTGTTGGACAATACTCAACACAGTTACCACAAAATATACATATTCCAAAATCAATACTGAAATATTAAAATTAATATTTTAATATATAATTAGACAAAATGTGGCAAAATAATCATTGTCCCAGCCAAAGTTTATCTTGCCTTAATTACATAAGCCATTGGAGTAAGCTTCGGCTAATTAGAAAATAATTTAAACTTAACCAAAATGGTATTAAATATTTCTACTAAAAAATGGTATAAAAACTCTCAATTTAATTAAGCTAAAATAAGCAAGATTCAAGGGCTGGTTATTAGTGATAAGCAATCATAATTATTTGAGCCTTATTAGACATTGACCCAGTAAAAAAATAAAATCGAATCTTTGATTTATAGGAAAAATGTTTATCCTTTTAAAGAATATAATTTTGTGTCATTTTAGATCTTAATCGTTGATTTCCATCAATCAACGGTTAAGATTTATTTAGTCAAATTTATTAATTAATTATAAATTCGCAATAAAATCTAATAAATTTTAACCGTCGATTGACGAAAATCAACGATTAAGATCTAAAATGACACAAAATTATATCCTTTAAAAGAGCAAACGATTTTCCCTTTATTTATTGACTTAATTTTTAGAGCGTGGTGGAATTGAATTAGTTTTATTAATTAAAACTAGTGAATTACCCGTGTGATGCCTGGGAGAAAAAGAACAAAATTGATGTAGCCATCGTTGGTTTGTCGTCTTACTGGTAAATGCACACGTTGATCTTGATATCAAACTCTTAACAATAATATGGTAATAAAAAATAATTGTATTATGTGCTAATTTTGAACTTGAAAAGGCTGTAGCATTCACAAAGATAAAAAAGTAAAATAAAATTTTGTACTACAAAACGTTTAATTGTATCGAGTAACCTTCACCTATTGCACAAGTGATAAAATTTATTCTTCTTCAGAGCGAAGAGAAAGTGAAACATGTCTAGTTGGTTTAAGTTTGAAAACAACATTATGTGTCAAAGGCATTATTTCATAAAATACCATAAAGAAGCAACACTAAATACAATAACACTATTTTGCATGACAACAAAAACAAAAATTTGAAAACCTAGTACATCCATGAATTACGAACAACACCAAAAAAAATAAACCCTATATATTACAAAATTCATTTATTTCATTATCTGCAGCACAATATTCACATGTAATATCATTATTATCGTCATCTTCGTCTCAGTTGAATTCTAATTGCTAGTTTGAAACCTTTTCATGGTTGCATGTTCTGGAATTGCACCAAGATTTGTCATGATTTTGAACAGGATGTTTACGCACCCACAAACTTCGGATAACAGATTTCACGTGCTCTTATATTTGATTGAACTCAGTCATCTTTTTCAAAGCACGTAAAATTTCAAATCCAACATTTTGTTCATTCTGATCGTTGCCAACCATCAGAAGCATACAATAAACGTACTTGGCTTCGTCGTGACCATTCTGTGCTGCAGTGTTAAAATTTTCAAGAGCCACCTTATCGCGCAAAGAACAGCAACTCTGTTGGCAATATTGCATTATTCCTTCACGGTACAAAATTTCTGGGTTGCCATTCTCCCTTCAACGTTTCAAAAAGTATAATTGGCAGTCTCTGTTGTAATGTTCATCTGGTGTCATTACCCATTCAAACAGCCCCTTGTATTCCCTGTCAGGATCACCGAGACAACCGTTGATTACATCGTGAACAAACGGTCTTTGCGTTGCAGCCGAAGTCATCGGCAAACATAAAAATTTCGCCAACGATGTATGTTTATACACCGAATCATGCTTTGCGAGAATGGCAACCCAGAAATTTTGTACCGTGAAGGAATAGTGAAATTTTGTACCGTGCAGACAAATTATAAGAACGCCAAATGCAGAAACATTACATGAAATCTTCAGTCCTATTCAAAGATATCTTTCGTTCAGAAACATGATACGAAAAATATAAATAAAATGTGTTCAGTTCATCAACTGCATCGCCGGATTGTCGCTGGCATAACAATGTTTCAAAAATTTGACTTGTTGTTCCTTGTTGAAGCGTTTCAGAGAACACATTTCAAACTCATACAATTCAAAATCCAACACTTTAACACAAAAGCTAGATTCATCATCAACACCCCATCGAAAAACTGCTTTCGCGTACCATTCCAAGAGTGATTTCGAAAACATAACCATGGAAACATGTTTATAGACAAAATCATGCTCCGTACATTGCTTGAAATACTTGCAGCTTAGTTTAACGTTGCATAAGTCCTCAAACGAATGAGCTGCCACTCTTTCGAAAATGTTCAACCATAATTCTGTTGGAAGAGTTTTGATGTCAGCCTTTGATTTTTTCATGTTGCTTTTCTAAGAACAATTCTCTTACTCTTTTTTACTTATAATACAGTAGGTTTCACAAAAATGAATAACATGAAGAAATCTGGCTGTTTGTATAAACCATTAGACATCGATTCACTTAGGGACATATCTATTGGATATCATTAATAGCCAAAAAACCTAAACCTTACACTTAATTAAATGGGCAGTGACCTTCTTTAATTCTCCATCGTAAATTGTGAGAAAAAAAACCAAATACTTAGTAACATAAAAAAATCCAACGACCAATGAATACTTCATTCTTCTGGATTCAAAATATATTTTCATGGATAACATCATCTTCATAATTTGCTTATACATTTAATCACCAAGCAGAAGCTCTATTCAACAACACCTAATTGTTCATTATTCCCAGAATATCATTATCGAATAATAATATCCAAACGATAAGCTAATACATTTCATCAGCAAGCATAATCTCGATGCAACGTTTCCATAAATAATCATCTTCTATAACACGACTAAATTGTTTTACAAGTTAGTTGAACGTTGTAAATAACAACGATCCCATCAGCAACAACTCTTGCAAAAATCTCCAACAATAACTCGTACGGAAGATTTTCAATGTTCTTCTCTTGTTTTTTCTCAAACATTCATTGTTTCTGTGAAGAAGACTCAGCCATGTTAGGATGAAGATTTTAGAATTGATAATAATAATCTGGTTGAATTTTTGCTATGGAAGTCAAAATTCCTAATTGCATTCTTTTATAAAGGTTAACCAACGATTTTTAGAAATAATTAATCAACCTTCTCGTGAAATGTTATGTGCATTAAATAACTCAGTAGTGGGAGCAAGTTTTAATGAAACACCTCTATTTCACACGATGGGATTGAAAACCTTTTTTTTTACAACAGGAATAATTAAAAATGTCATGGTTATAATGCAAAGAAATCATGGAAAGCAGCAGATAGTAATGTGGCTTTCAAATGTGTAACTCAACTACTTTGACTGCATCGATTATATGCACCAAGTCATCACCATTCAAAACATACTCAATAAGCTTCTTGAGTATTGGAACTGAATTTCTATATTGCAAGGACAATTTCGCTGTAATAAAAACAAAAATGATTTTCTATGACCATTGTATTATGAAGATGGACATCTGCGAAATTTTCACTTTGCAAGAAAAAAAAGGAAAAAGTATATTGATAAGGTGCATGTAACTATTATTCTTTTGTTTATATTTGATTTTTAAAAATCGATGGCACATCTATTTATCTTATAAATTGTTGTTTATGATAATATTTTGATTGCATTTCAATACTTATGTCACGGTAAATTCATCACCACCTGAAAACCTATTTTAATCCTTAATTTTATGTCAATGTCAAAACAATTTACATGTCATAATCTCAAAAAAGGTTACAATTAATAATTCAACAATAACAATTACACAATTTGTTGCTCCAGCAAAATGTCTCTGATATCAATCTGCGAACTATAAAAGAAAAAAAAGCTTCATATGTCAGCACAATATATTATTCAGCGAATAAAGAATAGAAGAACTGAACAGGGAATTGTCACAAGTATTATTCAATGTGGTTTTTTCCTTTCGAATTCAGAATGGTATTTTAAAAGTACAATATAAAAATAATCAAAACCCAACACATAATCAACATTGGAAAAAAATATAACTTAAGGAATGTAGGTTTTACCTGCACAAAACAGCAACGTTATATCCCATAGACTGAACCAAGATAAACTACAGTAATCTATGAAATACTTCTTTGTAGACTATGTTAAAGGTACTGTTTGTAACACAACCATCATCATCAAGTATCAAAATCTTCAATCGCTTTTTGCTCTTTACTCTGGATAGTGCCACATATAATTGCCCATGAGTAAAGACTGGCCTAGGCAGATAAATTCCAACATGAGAAAGTGATTGTCCTTGACTCTTATTGATTGTAATGGCAAACGAAACGACAAGGGGAAATTGTCTTCTTTGAAAATTTACACGAAAGGAATGACTTGAGGAAATCATTGTCATTCTAGGGATTAACACATTTTCTCCTATATTGCTTCCTGTCAGAATAGTTGCCTCAACAACATGATGGCCTAATCTTGTAATAAGCAATCTTGTTCCATTGCATAAACCTTTTGATTGGTCAATATCTCTCAATAGCATGACCGAAACTTTAACCTTCAAAATTAATTTATGATCAGGGAGCCCAGAACAGGAGAAGGTATTTAAGATCTCGGGTTAGAATTCATCATCCTTAAGGGAAGAATTACCATCTTGCTTCAAAATATTATCCGAACTTAAATATATCATTTCTTCACCTGGAATCGAAGACATTAAGTTCTCGTTTAAAATAGAAACATCTGCCAATTTTGGAGTCAGAATGACATGTTCTTTAAAAAATGTGGGTTCTAAAATATGATCCAAGATATCAGGGTACACAAAATCAATCAAATCTGAAAGTGGATCCGGTGATTCTTTAATCAATAATTCCTCTGGAATTGTTATAATAGATTCTCCATCCACATCATCTCCAAGAACACTATACCCGACTTTAAGAAGCCAGTCAAAAAATTCCTTTATTTCCATTAAATTGTGAATTTCACTTCCAGAACTAAGCCGCATGTTCTTGGTCAAAGTTAATAAATGACAATGAGACCAAAGATAAGAAGAATTAATGGTTGCATGGACTATATCTTGTCTGCTTCCATGAGGGACAACAAGTAATATTTGCCTGAAGTCACCCCCAAAAACAACAACTTTCCCACCAAATGGTTTATCAACAAAGCTTGAATCAGAAAATCTAAGAACATCTCTAAGTGTTTTGTCTAGAGCTCAAAGCAAAATCTGTGTACCATTGGAGCTTCATCCCAGATGATTAGCTTTGTTTTCGACAGCAATTATGCAATATCAGAATTCTGTCGTATATTACAAGTTGAATCCTCAGTGATCTGAATTGTAATACGAAATCTAGAGTGTGCTGTCCGGCCTCCAGGAAGCATAAGTGATGCAATTCCGCTAGAAGCGACATTAAGTACAAATATGCCTTTTGATCTAATGGATGCTGACAATGTATTCCAAATAAATGTTTTTCCTGTACCGCCAAAGCCGTACAGAAAAAAGAATCCCCATGTACCCACTGAAACTGCTGAAATTATCTTGTCATAAACAAATTTTTGCTCATCTGTGAGGGAACTCATTAGTCTTTTATGTTCTTCCACACAAAAAAATCTGTCATATAGTAATTCATCAAGCACTAAGCGATTTTGCATATCAAGCAAAGATTCACCAGTGATGCAGGGCATTGAAGGGTAATCAGAAAGACATTTTCTATTACTCTGTAGCACTTTATCAATTTCAGCAAGTGTTATGTTTTTATTTGTTCTGCAGTAAGAATTGCATCTGTAGAAACACGAAAGACAATGAAAAAAATAACAATTGAAAGAAAAATACTAATAGTACTTATGGCACATTATTTCCCACTAAAAATTCGTTATATTCAACAGCAAAAATTCAAAGAAAGATTTTATAATTATTTAAAATTTGTTTTTATGTCGATTGTGATTTAGAATTGCACAATAAAGGAATAAATAATGAAAAAAAAATTATAATGCATATAATATGTGCATAATGAATACCTAGATGTCCTACTGTTTTCCTATGTCGATAAAGAACATCGTCAGATAGAAATTGTCAACACTTTCCCCAAACATTTTGAGGTCTATTCATTGAGCTACCAAACAACAAAAGAGCAAAGAGACGTCTAAGATAAGAAGCTGACTGCCAAGAACTTGCCTCCTTAATTGCATTAATGTATTCGTTGTCTTCCTCCAAAAGTCCAAGAGAATAGCAGACATCTTTAAATGTTGGAAACAACACCCCATTGATAGTCCTCAGGTCTTCGTAACTTGTGCAACCCTTTTTAAAATTAAGAAGCATTCGAAGAAAGGAATCTTCTCCACTATTCGCAGAAAAACGATTTATTCTTCCAATTGAGAATCCTTTTTTTCTAGGATGTCATTCTTGACTATTTGCATCATAAACAAAATGAGTTGGATATTCGGCATAAGTAAGATACCTACCTTATGGAAATTTTTCATTTGCATCCATCCAAGCCTAAAAAATTGATTGTCTGAACTCCTCCCTTGTCTTAACTTCAGAGATTGACGCACTATCACGAAAAACAACGATCTTTTCATTGGATAGGTGAAATGGCAATCTCATCACATGGGGGTTTCTGTAATGAATATCGAATCCAAATATTCTCCAAGCATAATCACATGTGGATACATACCTGTCATTAATAAGAAATGATGTTAAACGTAGTTTAGTAAAAAAATAATACATGCACAGTAATTCAAAAGCTAATGGAGATTAATTTTAGTACCTACAATCGTAAAACATTTTAATTTCATCATCTGAATGATGTATAGCAGCAGTAACTCTATTATTCCCTTTATGAATGTATTTAAAAAGATATTTAATAGCACTGCTCTGACAGGTATATTCAACATTAATATGAGCCTGATACTTTAAAAGGAGTTTTGCATTATAAGGCATAACAAAACGATTATCAAGTTCAACACCATTTTTCTTCATAACCCTCCCATTATCTCTTCTCTTATAATGAGGAAATCTGTCATCATTAATAATCATACGAGAACAAAAACCCTTGGGAAATTTCTTTGTGTACTTTCCCTCCTTCATGCAAGGTGACTTGTAATTGTTAGCACCACAGGGACCATGCATCATGTAACTTGTGACAGCAACAAATAGAGAAAGATGGGTTTTCTTGTTAGGAATTTCTGCTGAAATCAATCTATCAATATCAAGTCCATTGTTAGGCTTGTTAGAAGGGTGCAAGAACAACAGAATATGAGTATGAGGGAGTCCGTGTTTTTGAAATTCCATTGTACAAACATCTGTTACAGTTAAATAAACGATAAAAGTCTGCATTAGAAGAAAATAATATAGTGATGGGAATATAGCGTTTTTGGGTTTCAATCAAGGTCACAAAATTTGATTTTACCATATACTTACATGCATTAACTCTGCCAAGAACATGTTTTTTTTTTTAAATCATGGAGCAATTGGTCCAATTTGAATTTGAAAACTCTGAAAAAAATATCAGGTCGATCTTCAGCATTCAAGTTTCTGGCGCTAAGAAACCGTGTAATTTCTGGTCACTTAGGATTGCAGGTAATTGTTATAAAAAGATGAGGATATCCAGCCCAACGGCAGATTGCAAAAGCATCCTTACAATTCCCAGCCATATATCTAGGTCCTCCTGTGAATGAAGAAGGAATAATAACACACTTTGCAATTCTAACTGTTGCATCTTCACCTTTATCCCATGCATGTATTATATTTTTGTACAACTCTGCCCTGAGTTGATCTTGATTGTGGCAGATGAAATTAAGACGGTCATACTCAACCATAGTATAAGCATTAACCAGGAATTGTTGGAATAGTTTTCTTAAGTGAAGAAGAACTTGGGACTCCCCTGATCTCATTTGATGTCTAAATGAAAAGAATTCTTTCATGCTAATAGTTGATCTTGGGTTTGTCCTACCACTGGAAATGGAAGTACACTGGAAATCAAAGCGACTCCATAAGCAAATAAAAAAGGATACTGTCAGCCAAGATACAGTGGATGTTTCACATCAATGCGCTGCAAAAGTCTGGTTTGTGTCTCCACAATGATGTCTCTGTCACCCATGATGTTGTCTATATCTCCAACAATCAAAACAACAACTTCAGATGCAGAGGGAAGATTATAAACTCTTCCATCACTACCATGCTTTCGAATAAGCCTCAACCTCACACCATTGAAGTTATCTTCCTTATAACGGTCTCTAGCGTATCGAAAAGATTGTGCAATACTGTTGTGCTTATCTAGCATTTCCTTCAAAGATCTAACAATATCGGGATCTAGGATGTCTTTATTGTTTGTGGGACTGCATTTTTAATAAATTGTAATCATTAGTAAACTAACTATAATAACAAAGATAATGCAATCCATAAATAGATAATGCGAAAATAACACAAAGAGAAATGCCTTAGAAAATCCAATCTGTTGTCAATTTCATTCTCAGTATCGTAGATATAAAGTTGAGCAAATTTTGGAGACTGACTATTTGGCGGAATAAAGCTGCCCATTAAATGATGAACCTGTCCTCCAACTATAAAACAGTAAGGTCCAGAACCTTCATTTATCGATCTATCAACTTTTGCACTGAAGGGGGTGAAGGAAAAAATCACGTTGTACGTTCGGATATATCGTAAAAAAATGGCGGCTCCTTATATATGAGTTATTGTTCAGTTCAAGCAATTTATCTGGAGCCATTTTTAACAAAGGAAGCTGAACCTTTCCATTGCCACAGCACAAACCGAACTCAGGCGTGCATGACTTTCTGTCTTTTTTAAGTCTCTCTTCATACCACATATTTGCTCCACAATGCGTGTAGATAAAAGTAGGATCCCCAACGTCCCAATAATCTACATATATGCAAAGAGCACAAAGTCATATTACATAGAAAATTATAATTTGGAATAAATAATTAAAAAAAATCTATACAATGACCTTCATTGATAGAAGATATGTCTGACACAGGCTGATCGGGTGAATTGTTGTCTATAGCAAACACGCCTTGGTCAAAAATATAATAAAGGACGAGAGAAAAAACACCTACTGTTGACAAACATCATTAAAAAACATTGAGCGAAATAGTATACGTTGAACTTACTTTGTTGACAGACATGAGTTGAAGTACTACTTGGACAGTTATCATTCCCTGATACAGATTTCTCTTTAGATAACACAATAACAGTTGAACGCAGGGTGATCGCATCCTCAGCATTAATTTCTATTTAAACATTAAAAATACGGAATGGACAACCCATTAAGTATTGCATTAGAAAAAAACTGAAACGTTGAAATCCATATCCATATAGTAATTATGTATTAAATGTTTAAACTCACAGGTAAACTAACCTGTTAAATCAGGCATTCTACTAATGGATTTGAGGGCGTTTGTAAATTTCTTTGAATTCTTCCTCTGACCAATGATACTTTTGCGTCTTATCCTAGCATTTTTGCTATCTACAAAAAAGATAAGAACTATAGTATTATTATCATAATACACTATAAATTTTTATCATCTTATTTTAGAACATTATATATCAAAAACATCAAAGGATTTTGTTATTAAACATTACCTGTATGTGGATTTGAATTATTAACTACTTCAACAATTGGGGAGGAAAAAGTTAAATTTGTCTGTATACTGTTTATTTCATTAAGCCTGTGACAGTCACACTAAATTACAATAATGTCCAATTGCAAATTTGCAGCTAAAAAAAAATTAAAAACAAAAAATGAACGAAGAATACTCACCTGTCAACGTTTAAGTTCGAGCACGAAGAAGGATTCTCTACACAAAATTGAGACAATAAGTTCATTTTTCATGTCAGTAATAAAAAACGACATGTTATATCAAGAAGTCTTGTAACAAAATTCATAAACAAAGTTGAAGAAGAAATCTGCAGACCATTAGAAATATCATGAAAAAGCTGTCTAGAACTGCTTCCACCGTTATGCATATTGGTAATTTCAGAAAGGCTGCTTGTTGAAAATAACAAAAAGTAAATTGGCATGATGATGTCTAATAACTGGAAGGAGTAAAGATTATTCACTTTTGTTTTTGGTAAATTAACACATGAGGGAGAAAACTTACGTTCCAAAATTGGAGGGAGAAGCAGGAGAAATATATTCTTGACAATATGAATAATAACAATTAGACCACGGAGAGAAAAACTATGGAGATTATGAATAATAAAATGAAGATAGGAATATAATGCAGAATAATAAATTAGTCATACCAATTGACGAAAAATTTGGAATACACTTTGTAGGGGAGGAATTACTCAACAACTTATTGAAACGACTCGTGTTTTTTGTATTTCTCCAAGGAATCTTTGTTCATAAAAGGAACAAAGATGGTAAAAAAAAGAGCGACTAAAATGCTACACAACAAAGTAATGAAAAAAGTATGTAAACATAAATAAAGAACATTTTTTATTACCATTGGAAATATCACAAATAGATTGTCTATTGTAACTCAACTCATTCCCCACATTTGTTACTTGAGAAATGCTAAATAGTTAAAAAATAAAATAAAGTTAAAACGTCAAATAATAATAACATATACGTAATTCGCATGGTCACTTTGATGCAAATGAAAAAACGACAAAGAGAACTTACCTGGCAACAGGAGAAGCGAAAAATGTAGGAACATTTTCTACACAATAAACAAAACACAAATCAGATGATAATATACTTAAACAAAGTAAACGAAGCATATTGGTTCTGCCGTACCATTCAATGGAAACCTTTCATGACTCTGCCTTCTCTTTCGCGAAGGCATTTTCATTGCTGATAGATGATTACTCATTATGGTATGCAAATCAAATAATCAAACGCAGTAGAGGATTCAGCTGGGATATTGTATGGAATACCAGCGCAATAGCGAACGGTTTCTAACTGTGTCAGTCCAAACACAACTCAACGTTCATCCTAAAGAACGTGCAACTTGTGGTTATGAGAAAATTCTTCATTAGTTGTTTTTTTTTTCAGAATGCGAACAGTTGCCACAAAAAGAAGGCAAATACAAATTGTATTTAATTACTCCAATTTAAAATTTTGTTCATTTACTATTTGAGTGTTTAAAATACTCCAATTTAGTACTTGACTATTTGATTTTTTAATAGCCAAATAATGGAATGTTAAAAAAAAGACGAAAAAAGAATTGTAAAAAAGTACTTATTCGAAAATAGAAAAAAAAATTAAAACCAAAACTATAATTCCACGAAGGAAACAACATTTTACTGCAAAATATAACAACAATATCATTGTAAAAATGAGGACGTTTTACTTCAAAATAAAACACCATTTTCGATCAATATTCCAAAGATTAAATTAATCAATTCTCTCAGATTTCTAATGGTTCAGCAAAGTAAATCTGCAACATATGTTGATATAAAGGAAAACTTTTGTAGCAAACTTGTTATGTTATAATGCGAATTTAAAAATCGTCTTAATATGTTTTTTTAATAAGGTCCTCACATATACTTTGAATATGGTTCTTTTGATATGGACAATTAAGAAACACTTAAAATTTCATACGACAAACTGGCAATGGAATAATGAGAATCATTGCTTGACCGCCAATTTTATTCTGATGCAATTATAGAGAGCGAGTAAGTCATTCACTATAAAATAGTTCGAATAATTAACCATTGCAGCATTAAATGTTAAATCAATCGTTCACGTTAAAACTCAAACTCAAATATTATCACAGATAAGACAATGGAATACAAATATAATATTTAAAAAAAAACAATAAAAGTAAACTCCTCCCATAGTGATTTTACAAAAACGTTTCATTTCAGCAAATGCAACACAATAATCACATCTAGTAGAATAATCATCGTCAACAGTGAATGTCTCAAAAGTTGACAGTTCCTTTGAAACATGTTCACAACTGCATGACTGAGAACAACACCGAGAAAAGTCTAGATTTATTGGGATTTCTCTAAGATCCCACATGCTTTGGATAAAACATTTCACACGGAGTCTGCAATTTTTCAAAATACTGAACGACTTTAAAGAATGGAATATATCAAATCCACCATTTCTTTGGTCATCATCTTTACCATTCAGCAAAAGGATGCAATAAACATATTTTGCTTCTATGTGACCGTTTAGCGCTGCAATTTTCAAATTTCCAATAGCAACGTCCTCGATAAATAAACCTGAATTGTTTTTGAAATAATTCATCATCCCTTTTCGGTACAGTATTTTTTGGTTGCAACTTTCCTTGCATCTCCTTAAGAATACCAATTGTCGCTCCCGATTAAATCTTTCATCAGGACACAGTTCAAACTCTAAGAATTTAAAACCAAACACTTTGGTTGTTTCTAAAAATTCTGCATCATTCTCACGTTCTACTTCAACAACATGCCAAAACGGTTTCTTGTCACAGATCTATTCCAGTCCAGAAATTGCAAATCTCTGTAACGAAGATTTCTTATACACCAAATCATGCTCTGGAATTCACAGGAAATCCTTGTACGTTTAGTTTGACGCTGCTGATATCCTGAATCGAATATGACGCGACTTTTGCAAAAATGCACTCTAATAAATCATTTGGGATTTTCTTGACGTCAACCATTGTTTTGTTGTATTTAGCCGAATAACATTAAGCTTTATTAAGCACATGCAAGCCAAAACATAATATTGACTCATATTTATTACATAGTTTTAATTTGATAACACACATCTTCAGAAATAAGTCCATTGAATTAGTTGATATAGTCATTAAAGCTCTGACCATTATTGCAGTAAATAAGAAACTCTTCGTATTCAACATCTTGTTAAACGTGGCAGACATGGTATTGAAAATTAGTTTATTAGGTGTGCAATTTATTAGTGTGGCAAAGAACAAATGTCTTTTCGTAGACCAATGCATTACCATCATTGCTAAGAATCCCAACCGTCGTGAACTGAATTAATTAGTAATAGTCTGTTAGTTCCAAATGCAGTAATGAGTACTGACTTACTTCCTGCAATAATGCCTTGCGTATTAGAAAATGCAAAACTCTTTATTAGCATAACAGCCAATTGCACATCGTCCAACAATTGCACATGTAAACCGAACACGCCAAAACAGCAAAAGTAATTTTCCATGATAAGTTTTAAGTTTCCAAAGAAATTATATGTTAATGGTTAAGTACTGATAACACGTTTACACAGCCGTATCTTGGAACTACCATCTTGTATCAGCAAACGATAAATACACTGTCAAAAATATATCAACACATAGAAAACCCTAAACATATACAAAGCATAATACATTAACATCTCATATGGAGAAGCACAATGAAAAAAGTTCGACTACAGAAAAGTTAGACATCAGTACTGACACAGACACGAATGAAGAAGTTAGACAAACACAAAAAAAAAAAAATTATAATTGAACACAGCAAACCACAAAAACATTACAATCTTAATTCGCGTCACCAGAAATACCTAGACATTAATAAATGAGTAAACACAATTTTTGGTCCCTAACAAAAAACACGGTCCCCACTTTAGTCCCTTACAAAAATAAATTAGTCAGTTAGTCCCTAACAAATTCAAAGTGGACCCATTTTAGTCCTTTTGAGGGACTAATATGGGTCTTTTTTGAATTTGAGGGACCACGATTTCAACTAAATGGGTCCACTTTGAATTTGTTATGGACTAACTGACTAATTTATTTTTGTAAGGGACTAAAGTGAGGACCGTGTTTTTTGTTAGGGACCAAAAAGGGTATTTACTCTTAATAAATTCTCTTAATTCATAATCAGCACTACAATACTGACATGTATCTCCTTCATTATAACGATCGCCTACACTTTTCTGCTTGCAAATTGTGGAATTACAACAAAAAATATCATGACGTGCAACCACTCTTCTACGCACCCACATGCCTCATAAAAAGGCCCTCACTCGCTTCCTGCACTGATCAAAATTCATGGTCATTTTCACAGCACAAAACATATCAAATCCAATGTCTCGTTGCTCCCGACTATCACAAACTATCAAAAGCATGGAATAGACGTATTTGACATCAATGCGACCATTCTTTGCAGCAATTTTCAGATACGTTAAACCAAAACTGTCCCTCAAAGAACAACAATTTTGTTGGAAATATATTATCATTTCTTCGCGGTACATAACTTCTGCGTTTCCACTCTCCCTACAACGTTTCAAGACGTTTAATTGGCAGTCTTTGTTATAGGCTTCCTTCGGTGACAATTCAAAATTGTATATAAATCCATTGCACTAATCCTCATGTTCACTGCCACATTCGTTGTCTACAGCATGACGAAATGGCTTCTGTTTGGAAATCGAGTCAATTGTGGAACATGCAAACTTCTCCAATGAAGATTGTTTATACACATCATTTTCTGCAAGATTTCTAAAATCATTGCAAGTTTCCTTAACGTTGCAGAGGTCCTCGATAGAATTCGACGCCACCTTTCCCAAAATCTCCAGTTGCACGTCGGATGGAAGATTTGTGAGGGATTCATTTCTCTCTTTATCTATTCTTACACATTTTGGGGCTGACGTTTCAGCCATTGATAGAAGATGCAAAAAAGAATCAACAATATTCCAACCTTTTAATGAAAGAACAATAACAAAGGAACCCAACTGAAAAACCAATTACTCAACCCACGATTATTTATAATAGCACGAACCATCAACCGAAGAATCAAACTGTAACATTTGGGAAATAAATTCATTAAATTGAATAAAATAACGTGGCCGACCCATCATCCATGAAAGACTCCAGCTTCCCTTATCATGTGGAACATGATGGGTTTTAGTTCAAAATTGGGAGCTACAGGAGGGAGGATTACTCCCCTTTCTGGTCTGTTCCTGAAAGGAACAGCCAAAGTTCTAAAATTCTGTTCAAGATGGACTCCTTCATTGTTATTGTTATGATCAACCATGTTTTCAAAAATATTTTCCCTGAGATTTCTTCTCCTTCTATGTAAATTGTGTTCTGGCTCAGGGTCAAAGAAAAACTCAGGTATCTCAATAGAGTGGGGAGAATCTGTTTCAGACTCTTCACTCATAAACCGTAAAACAGATAGTATGAATCAGCAGAATATGTGAAAAAAATAAAACAAGAAATAAAAATGAAATATACAGAGTATGTATATACTTAAAACAGTAATAGAGACAAAAATTAGTGTATCTATCCCCGGCAACGGCGCCAAAAACTTGTTGGGTCAAAAGCTGTTGGGTGAAAAATATATTATGATGAAGACGTTCCTCAATTCACTAAGAAAGAACACAGTTGCTCTCTTAGTTTCAACCCAAGTGCGCAAGTGCACGCATCAAGTAATAAATGGGAAAATTAATGCCCAGATTATCGTTCCCACAAGGATGGAACTCTAATTAGTGCCTTATACTATTTTACAAAGAATGAAAATGAAAAGAAAAGTTAGTAATTGACCTATCTGGTCAAACGTTCCCTATTGTCTTGACAACGTTCCTCAAGAATAGTAGGTTCAATCTGACATCAAACAGTTCATCGTTTCGTTATGTATGATGCCCTTCTTTTGAGAGAAGGAAAAGCAATATTCATGGGAGAGTTATAGATACAAGATCGAACAAATAATAGAAAAATAACAATAATAATAACAGTAATTAAGAGACAACATGATGGATGGTGTAAGACAATTTAACAGAAGGAACGGATCCACTATTCCATTCTTAAATAATATTTTCTCTACTCAAGTTTTAACACTTTTGTCTTTGTTCCAGTCTCTTAACTGCCAACGTCTGATTCCTCAGCTTATGGACTAGATGGCTCATAAGTTTCCATATTCCTATGGCTCCCTTGACTCCAACAGGTACTTGGTACATAACCTTAAAATGAACGAGGTGGCCCCTTATTCCTAAGGCAACCAGTAGTGTTGTTTCCACAACACTGCCTTCCCCCTCTAGTTAAGCTGTTTGAAATTTGTTCCTTATGGAAGTTCCTTTCTCAGTATGTGTTCAATTTCCATTGATACACAATGAATATAGCTCACTTAACTAGAGAAATCCAAAAGCTTAAATACAAAAGTTTCGAAAATAAGTCTTTAAGAACTTTGCAATTTTTCCGTTCCACAGATAGGTTAGCTCATGGTTACTAGTTTAAACATAATTATTCTAAACTGAAATCCCATAGACCCGAGATTCAGTTCAGAGATAACGAATGGAAATGAGAGAAATAACACTTGTATTTAAATGAAAATAACTTGATTACAACAAAATAAAAAGTGGAGAATATGGTTGTTGCTCGTGAGGAATCTCAAGTGGGAGATACAGAATGAAGAAGAAGTGTTGTTACTTAACGAAAGTTAAAACTGTACAAAAAATACAAAGAAAACTATAAACTAAACTAAGTGATCTCTTCTTAAGGAATTCGATTGTTGTCTTCATGCTGGAACGTCCTATTTATAGGCATAAGAGTGAAGGGCAAAGTGAGTAATTCTCTTGGAGTTGTTTTCTCAACTGCATGGAAGGGGCGGTGTGAACAGTGCTTTGAGGGGCGCAAGTGGTTGGATGAGACAGTTATTGTTGAGATTTGTCTTTCCTTCTGATCGTCCCATGCCTTGCTTTCCTCCTTAGCCAATAGGAACCGTTAATTTTCTGTCGCGCACGTTTCCTCTTGCTTGATTGCTGCACCGCTTATGCTTTATGGAAACTTCTTTCCAACGTTTCCTGAAAAGTGGTCAGAAATATTAAATGAGTGGAGCAGGTGTATTTAATGTTCCAAATCCGTTCCTCGTTTTATATATTTTCCAAAGACTTATGTCACCATCCGTTCTCCACTGTGTTTTTGTCAAAAAGATATTCAACATATGCTTTTAGTGCTAAAGTTACTCATCAGGTGAGGGAACAGATGGTATTTTGTCACCAAAATGGGCTTAGATGGGCACAAATTTTTGTCCCATCAACAAGCACTGTCAAATATAGAATCATCCTGAAAATTTTTTTACCATAAATGAAAAAAAAGTAATAAGGCATGAAAAGTGTAGGTTATGAATAAAAAAACAAACATTTGGGTCCACCGTGGTCTTTATAAATGATGTGATAATACTTTCACTTATGCAAAGTTTGGCCACATGATATTTTGGCTCATTGTATGAGTTCAGATTGCTTATTTTCACAATCACTTTAAACAACATAGATTTATCTTTCAGAACGTTCAACTCTTCCGGATAATGCTCCAAATTCGCACCCTACAAAAAAGGAAATAGTACAAAAGAATTTTGCTGGTGTTAAAATTTTTGAGAACCCCACTATTATAAAAATTCAAAGTTTTGAGAACCAAACCCGCTTAAAATGTTGCTCGCGCAATTCAGCAGCACTCACTCCTAATAAAGCAAGACAGTCTCTATCCAACAGTACGAAAGAAGCAGAATCAATGTTATCCACAACTCTGACTTGAACACTGAACCTAAAAAGATAAAAAAATTATAATTTACATCAGTCACACCAGTCTGCATGCTTAATTTTTCAATAACAATGGCAATAAAAAAAATGCCTTACTTCGGATAATATTCATCCAAATGTTTTTGACAATTCTTACAATACCATTTCTCAAAATCTTCACACACAGAATATGGACATTTCTTACAGGACCTGTACCACCAGTTATACTTACTTTCGATGGATTTAATAGTTCCATAAGTAATGCAAGTAGTAGCATCAATGCAATTCTTAATATCAATAAGAAATTTCCTCTCTGTATCCTTTAGAAAATCATTTTCATAAGAATATGAGGAGGGGCTGGACAACTGAGTCAACATCTGACTAATTTTGATCAGATCACCGGAAAGCCTAGAATAAAAAAATATATCAAACAATCAGTGCATACAACAAAAGCAATGCCTCGTAATTTCTCACTGCAGCACACCTTTTTTTTTAACTATACGATCTCAGATATATTGGAATCAAAAATGATTTTTGTCACATACTTTGTATTAGCTATTCCAATTTTTCCTACAAAATTAGTAAAAAAAAAATCGAAATAAATAAAATAAAAAGGAAAACATTAAAACAAAAAAAAATGAGAAACACAATACCAAAATAAAAAAAATACCCCTAAAACCCTTTATCCTTGCAAGCTGAAGTATTATAACATTCTGAGAACTCTGATTCTTTACTAAGAACGTCTGAACCTCATCTACGTACGACTCCCACAAAGTTCACTCAAGTTTCTGACCCCTATCATGTTAGAGGAACAAGAGATATATAATAAATGATGTAAAATTTAACTCTTTTAAATTGAAAAACACGTAAGAAATTACAAAAAACTATCAGAAATATACATAACGTAAATACCTCAGGTTGTCAAGCTCCACGACAACCATTTTTGTATTCCTACCAAAGATGACATGTTAACGGACTTCCCCAATTCTAGACAGCAAACCAATGACGCCTACACAACAAAAAACATGGACTTCAGCCTTACGTCCTATATAAAAAATCTTAATTGAAAACGAATAGCACAATACACCAATACCATCACCTATTAAATAAGGGGAGTCAGACGATTCTTTCTGAATAATGTCAAATTCAGCAAAATCAAAACCATGTGCAGGAATCGTAGCATCAACAATGGATTTCACATCCAACCTCAAGTTGAAAGACAGACGATATTCATGCCGTGTTGGCCTGAAATTACCAGTATTCAACCCAACTTTAAAAATTTTTTTATAAAATAAGCATAACCCTCGCGAATTTTCTTTTGAACCTGCAAAGAACCCTTCGTCGTAGCATGGATCCTTCCACCCTATAAAATGAAAACACGCAGTATATCATAAAAAAAACGACAATGCAGCTGCCGAAAAGATAAAAAATGAAAAAAAAAGACATTACCCGTTCGTCTAACAAAACCATATCAACATTATCATCAAAATCTTTTGGACTAAAACTGGGAACCTTCCAACACCTAACCACACGCACTTTAATCCTCTAGTCTTCCTTCGTCAGATTAAGATCCTTTACGAAGTCGTATTTCGAGCACATTATGTTGAACGATACAATCAAAGGAGGAAAAGAGAAACAGACCAAAGAAGATACAAATTGCTCCTCGCAGTGATGCAGACCAAAAGGCAATTTGCAGCAATGTATATCGTTTTTATACATGAAAATTACACATGCAATGAATACAGCCGCCTCCACTGAAATCATTTTTTAATTTTTTAACTTTTCCCACCAATTTCAAGTTTAAAGTTTAAATTTTGAATTGAGAATTGAGAAGCTCATTAATACAGTTGTCTGCCACTAAGTCAATAATAATTTTAGAGATTATGTCAGCCTTTTTGAATTTCTTATTTACGCAAAAAAAATTATTTCCAAAAGAAGTAACTTTTTAAACTATCCTCTAGTGTGAACAGAAAGCTGGGAATGAAGGAGAAAATGACACATCAGCAAACTTTCCAAAGTTTGTTTCTCCTTTCTATATAGTAAGATAATACTTAAATTCATTTAAAAGCAAAATAATAAAAACATTTATAACTACGATAATTTTAATACTCTCTCTCTTTCTAAATATAATAAAGATAACTAACTACATCAAATGACTCAGAATTGACGTAGAACATTTTATTAGGGGTGTTCATCAACCTATCCAAACCTATTCAAACCGCGGTGACTGAACCAAATAAACCAAAAATTAAAAAATCAAAAACCGAAAAAAAATCACAAATTTTAATTGGATTGGATCGATTTTCGGTTTGATTGATGAAATCTGAACCAATCCAAACCGATCCAATATATTAATTTCCTTCTACCTACTTGGACCTTTTGCGAGGGAAAGTAGTAGCGAGGATGAAATTAGCGAGGAAATTTTCATAGCAATTCCCTCGCTATACAGGTTTTTACTAGTAGTCCCAATCATAGTCAAAAAAATTTTAAACCCAAGACCTATTAATCCATCAACTAAACCCAAGAAAAAACCTAGCCACATCCCATAAGCAAAATTTCATATGTGTAGAGCTTCATATCTCAGACAAAAAAAACTATATTATCGTTTACTGATACTTCTGTATTTTAAAAAAAGAACTTTACAAAGCCAATATATATATGGAAAAAATGTTTCTGCAGTTAATGCAGATAACATATCTGCATTTATTCCCAAAACGACGTCGTTTTGGTATTGAATCTTAAAAAATTATAAATATAAAGACTATTATAACCCTGAAATAAATTAAAATCACAAATACACCATGATTTCTGCCCAAAACGACGTCGTATTGGGCTTACTGCAGATAACTTATCTGCAGTAACTGCAGAAAAAACGAACCCTATATATATATATATAAAAGATATGTTATTTGCACAATAATCATGAAACAAATTTTAGACTTTTCAAAAAACCGAAAACCGATCAAATCCAAACTGAAAAAATTTGGATTTGATCGGATCAGATTTGAAAAAAATCTAAACCGAATGGATGATTATATGATTAAAATGAAGGGATTGGATTAGATGATTTTTTGCTTCTAAAACTGATCCAATCCAGAGCGCGAACACTCTATATTTCATGAGTAGTTTTTTATTACAATTTAAATTATATATGATAGGTTGGTGGTTTGAAAACATCATTATCTTTATATAAAGTATAAATTTCTAAATCAATATATTCTGCTTTTGATAAGCTTATTTACATGTTTTTTTAATTATAAAAATGTTATTTATTTACATGAAATTATTTTATATAAACATAAATAATTGTGAAAAAAAGTTACCATTGTCCATTTATTCAACCGCCGAATTATAAAAGTTTAGGTGGAAAAAAGAAATATAAAATTTACGGTAATAAATCCTTTTATTTTAAAATTTCACATGATCTCATTATGTGAAATTTTTGTATATATCTCTTTCTTCATTAATGATAATTAGACACCACATATTTAATGTATGTGAAGAGAAAAATAAATATAAAAATTTGATCGTATAAAATCTTAATGCGAGAGGATTCACTCCCAAAAGTTATGTTCAAGGTGAATATCAATGTATAGTATAAGGTTAATATTCGGGGGTAACTAGTGAATGCTCTAGGTATGGTGATTGCAATGGTATTTGGTTGAGTGTATGAGATAACATGCATAAGAGGGCTTGATGAATGAGGTAGAATGCGATGTGAATGAAGTGTCCTCCTTTAGGTGTAGGTGCATTTATACAAACTTTGGGATGCAGTTATCATATTGATCGTGGGCTTAGTACGGTTCAATTATGGAATGATCGTGTGTATCAGAGATGGGAGAAGATCATGAGTATAATCTCACGACTCAGATTCACGGGTTATAACCCGACCGGATATATCTTATCCGGGTGGATATGTTTTTAGGTTTTCACAAAGTGAACTTAGCCCTTTGGGCCTAAACCTAGTAGGCCTACCCGGGTATATACCCGGGACAAATTCCATAGTCAATTTACGGGATCGCGTAACAATGGAAGTAACTTGGTCTTACTCTTGCTGGTAGATATACACTAGAATGAAGCAAATTTTGTTTTTGTTTTTGTTTTTTTGTTTTAATTGAATGAAGCAACTTTTTGTATCACTATTTCATGATTTTGTTTTCGATGAAGGACAAAAAGGACATATATTGAAGGAAGAAAAATAGGTAATGAGATACAATTATTTGGGGGTCGGTGAGATGCTGTATGGCATTATTACAACTACTCATCACTGTCTTATTAATAAATCATTTAAATAATCATTACTTACGTATCTCGTCCTTTTCTTAATTCGTATCTAGTCATTCTTTTTAAATAAAGTACTCTTAATCACACAAAAAATACACATCAATCAAGGCTGTCTGCAATTATATCATTACGAATTTTTATATAAAATAATAGAACAAAATGGGATGTAAAATAATAGAAAAATAATTTTTTCATATTATATTGATAATTAAAAGGAAGGCTTTATCTTGATTTTTTTATCTTCTTATTTTTTATGGATCTTACTCAAATATTATGTGTATAACATGAGAACATATACTCAAAATGAGAAAATTAATAAAAAAAATATGAGCTGTTAGAATGTACCACCTTGTACTTCAATTTAAGCTGCAATAGATTGGAATCCTAGTTTTTTAGTCAGTAATTCTTAAATTTATTTGAAATATTTTATTAAAAGTAGAATTGATACTTAACAAAATAGTAATCATAATAATTGCGGGAAAAAAGTTAACCCATCAAATAGCTGCAAATTACCAAATTAATAACACACGAGCTGTAATAAGAATTTTCCAAGCGTTTAATTACTTAAACACACAAATTTTCGCGAAACGACAGCATTTTTTAGATTTCTCATCAATAGCGTATATCTATCGCACAAACATCTTAAAGAACGAAACATATTTATTTTTAATTAAAAATATTAAAAAAAATTAAAATTTTAAAATAAAAAATTAATATTTATTTATTATTAATTTTACATTAAGTATTTATAATTTATTATGTATATTCAACAATATATTTGATAAATCAGTACTGTGGTATTGAAAAAAATAAAAAATGAGTTAAATATTACTGTGTTTCTCAAAAACTTTTATTTATTTCAATCAATTTCTAAATTCTTAAAACTCAACATCTATTCCTTGAAATTAATATTTAGTCCTTAAAAACATTTACTTATTTCATATTAATCTTTTTTTTTTTTAGAAATATTCCAATCGATTAACTAATCCGATTCGGGGCGGATCCAGAATTAAGGATATTTCATATTAGTCTTTGAATTCTTAAAATCATACACAAAAGCCTTTAAAATATTAGTTTATTAAGTAAAATAATCCGTGAATTAAATTGGTTCCATTTTTTTTAATACATGTGTCATTATGTCAGATTAAGTGGCTAGTGGTGTGGAGTGTGTGTGTTAGGAGTGTGTGTAGTGTAGGGTGTTGTGTTCAATTCCTTGTAAGCTCCAAAAAAAAAGTGGCTATTGTGACTAGGGGTGTTCATTCACCGATTCAAACCGCGGTGACCGAACCGAAAAATCGATAACATAATAAACCAAAAACTGAAAAACCGAAAATCGAAAATCGCAAATTTTAATTGGATTGGATTTTGGATTGATTGATGAAATTCGATCCAATCCAAACCGATCCAATATATTAATTCCTCTCTACCTACTTGAGTTTTTCCCCAATCATAGCCCAAAAATTTCTAAACTCAAGACTCATTAACTTATCAACTAAACCCAAGAAAAAATCTAGTCATATCTCATCAACAAAATTTCATGTGTGTAAAGCTTCATATATCATTGCCCAAAAAAAAAAAAAAATTATCGTTTAATGTTGTTTTTGTATTTCAAAAAAAAAAATTTACAAAGCCAATATATACAATTATACAAAAGATGTTATTTGCATAATAATCATAAACAAATTTTAGGATTTTCAAAAAACCGAAAACCGATTCAATCCAAATCAAAAAAAATTGGATGGATCAGATTTGAAAAAATATCCAAACCGAATGGATGGTTATATGATCAAACCCGAAGAGATTGGATCATATGATTTTTGTTTCCAAAACCGATCCAATCCAGACTGCGAACACCCGTAATACTTATATTGGAGGACACCAACTTAGAAAAATATTATTTTCTCTATTACTAGCTTAAAATGTGTGCTTTATTTTATTTTATTTTATTTTATTTGCTAGATTTTGTTCTTTATTTGAACATGAAAACGTTAATTAATTTTTCCAAGTCTAGAAATACTACGGGACCAGCTCATACATGATATAAATTGGCTAAATGGGTGACAGCTTAAGAACTTAAATTTATCATTCCTTATTCTAACATGACGGATTCAATGTATCATTTATTATATCAGCTGATTTAATATGACAAGTTAAGTAGTTAATATAAACTCAAAATAAATGTGTTTCAATTAAAATGTCATTATCTTAGTTATGAATTTATGATAAAAGTCATAACTTTAGATTACTACATAAGTATCACAATCGTAACTTAATGTACCACATTAACACTTTTATTAATAAAAAATATATTCAATTTAATTCAATGACTAACGTGCATAATAAACTAATATTTCAATGAGTTAACGTTAGAATTTAAGAATTAAGAAATTAATGAAATTTTGTGAAAATCTAAACAACTACAATTTCAGTTATATATCAAATGATGATAACTAGTTAATGCATGAGAGCTGAATAGGTGGGAGCGAGAACATTTGTTCGATCCCCTAAGATTATTTTTAAGAGAAATTTAAAGCCTTAATCTTATACTCATCCTAAATAAGATTACCTCTCATAAATAATACATGTGATCTATAAAAAAAATAATAATAATCGTTTGTGCAACGTCACAGACAATAGACCTCTACCAAATACCAAATACCAACTAACATGACTCCTAACTCCGGTTAAGTTAACTAACTAGGGTTACGAAGTGCCAGTTGGAGAACATGGAGCGTTCAAGTTAAGTGCGCAAAATAATGCCACGGTCAAGGTCACACGCAACGCAATGCATACGTGAGGACGAGACACACATACACACACGCACCCGATCCAAACCCTTCATCCATCTACCGCAATTTCACACTCGGAACAACCTCAACGACCAATGTTGAGAGACGAAAGCGTGGGTTCAATAAGCGCGAGGCACAGCGCTACCACCGTCTCTGCGGTGTCGAATAAGGTTCTGGTGGCCGTGAAGGCGGAGAAGGTGATCTCCAACACCGCATTAGCATGGGCACTCACTCATGTCGTTCACTCCAGCGACTCCATCACGCTGCTCGCCGTGCATTCCGCCGATAAAACTGGTAGCTGGCTAGCTCTCTCTACACTGAAGAGAAATCTTAATTCTATTGAATTGGATTGAGTTTTAATTGATCATAAAAATAGATGTTAACTCTTATTGGTTCAATTTGCTTAACTATAAGCGTGTGTGGATTATTATTTCAGGCCGAAGATTCTGGAACTTTTCGAGACTGGCTTTAGACTGTGCGATCGGAAACACGGGAAAATTGCCGGAGGGGATTTCTGATATCTCCGAGTCTTGCGCTCAGATGGTGCTTCAGTTGCACAATCAAATTGAGGTAACTTCCAAATTTACCTTAACCAAAAAAGATAAAGCTGTTTAAAGTTACCGGATTCTGTTAATAACTTTGTGACGTGGAAAAGGTAATTTAATAATAATAAAGTAGCAAAGAAAGTATAACCTCTTCGTAATATAACAGTTGAGATTTACAAGACGTGTTAAGATTTGCTAATAAAAAGTAATAAAAAAATAATAATTAATATAATTTCTCTAATAATAATGGGTAAAGGATTTCTATGGAGATAAATTATCTCAACAATTTCTGTAATTATAATATATTGCAGAGTTATATTAATCTTTATCATTATAATTTTTTAATCTTATTTGGAGTTCATAATTTTATCTCAGTGACCTGAAGAAATATTTTTTTCAATAATAATTGTGTAAAGTTACAACCTCTTTTTTCTTAATTTACTTATAAATTTATTGGATCAAAATAAAATTAATTACTCTCATTTAATATTATTTTATAAGGTTGATTTTAATCCAATAATTATAAAAGTGATAGTAGGGAAAACAGACTATAAGTATGCTCTCTCTCCCATAATAATTATTATAAACATGACAAATTACGCATCCATATAAGTGGCGTATTCGTATTTCGTACCCGCATTTCAGACGAGTATGGTATTTAAAATTTGGAATGCGATCCCCAGCAAATTAAATTTGAACCGCCCAATCTTGTTGTTTATATTCAATGTATCGCAATTTTTTATTTCATATTTTATTTTATTATTTAATATAAATTATAAAAAAAAAAATCATGGTTGTTGATTTTCAACAGTACAGAATCTTGATTCTATAGTATTAACCGTCACTGGTATTTTTCTCCTCCATTCTCTATGGGGTTGTTGCCTCGGTTTCTGATCTTTTGCGCATAGAAAACGACTGAGTTTTCCAACTGATTTTACTAGCTTAATCGGTCGTTTGTCATTTTCCCCTATTTTTTTAAATCCTCATGACTTTATGACCGTATTCGCGCTGTCGTTTTTGTCTCATTCTCTTTCTCGCTTTCTATTTTTTTCGTGGACGGAGACAAGTTAAAATGTTGTTATTTTATGATCTACTAAAAAATTCCCTTTATTTTATATCATATATATATATATTTGTCAAATTTAAATAAATAATTTCTATTAGTAAATTTTTTGTCCTTTCTTTTTTTGGAGTTTGATTTTCTCATGTTAAATGAGAATTCAATTCTCATGTTGTAAAGATAAAAAGCATGTGGGACCCATGTGTTAGAAAAAAATTATATGTAGGATTCATGGCAGCACGGAAATCGAAGGGTGTGTAGAAAAATTTAAATTCTCATGTTAAATGAAAATTATAAAACCCTTCTTTTTTATATCTTATGACTTATATCATATCCTTTAAAATGTATATATTCTCATCGCCGAAAAGAAAATTGTATATATTCTCAATTTTATTTTATTTTTTACACTAACGTGTCAGAGTCAGAGTTGAGGAAGTTTCTGATCTCTTCCATCTTCCACGTCTGTACTGGCTTGACTGTAGTATATATGTTCCATTTGCACGTGCTTTAGAAACCTTGTCTTGATTAAGAGGGCCAGTGATGTATCAATAATTGCACATGCACAAAGCTCCCAAGAATTAACTAGGCAAAAATAAGTTAAAAAGGGAATATATATGGGTGCATATTTTCTTATGTTGTAGGATAGTAGGAGAGAAAAAAAGTTTAGATAAGTTAAATGTGGGTCCCACATTTTAAATTAAAAAAGAAAAGAAAAATTAATTGGCACGGAAAACGAATTTGTGTAGGAAAAAGTTCTTATCTCATGTAGAAGGAGATAATGATTTTCCAATATATATATATATATATATATATATATATATATATATATATATATATATATATATATGAGAAGACAAAAATTATCTAATTGACAAGTTAGTAGGCTATTCAAAGTTATTTGTTTTAATTAATTTATTATGTACAATAATAAATTTACGTAATTTTTTTTTTGGATACAAAATTTACGTAATTTTAGTTTAAAAATGAGTGGCATGTAAATGTTCGATTTATATAACCATAAAACTTAAACAAAGAACATTAATAAAACATCTATCATGACATGTAAAAATTAGGAGGAGTTATGTTTACAAACTCTTACAAACTATATTTACTCCGATGATACATCCACTTACAAAATTAGGAATGCATCCGACGGAATAGGTAGTATAGTTTATAAGAATTTGTAAACAAAAAATTTGTAAATATAATATATCCTTAACAATTATCATGAAATCACATGTTCGGTAGATGCATTTTACTATTATTGTTGTATTAACAAAAAACTTCTAACAATAATTGTCTTGCATAGTTGCATTGGAAGCCATAGGAAGATAGCTCATAATCACAGCTATTTGGCCACGATCTAGCTTATCCTTTATATATGCACACATCTTAGGCTACGAAGCACCGATACGACGTTTTCGATACGTTCTTGATGATACAGATGTCGATTACCAAACAATACGTGTCTGATACGTTTCTGATACGCATATCCAATACGTTGGAAAAAAAATTAAGGAGTATCGGTGCTTCATAGATCTTAGGTCTATTATGCAAACCAAACAAGGGAAAGAGAGAGTGAGATAGAGAGAAGAGGGCCGGGGGGCAAGTTAGATTCTTCGTCCTCTGCGCTGCCTTCCTCTCTATGTAAAGACATATCTGTATCCCCGTACTGGGTTTTATTGGTACAAGTAACAAGTTGTGCGAGTAGAAACCCTTTCGCCAGTCGTGTAAATACAGGCGAACATTGTGCTTGTAACATTGGTGTTTGCAATATGTTCTACCTAAATTACTGTGGGATTTGAATTAGTGAGCGACTTCTAGAAAATACTGGAACGTCAGCGGATAACTCGCTTTAACAGTTGTTGAATCTAATGGCCAGGAAAACGGATGCTGAATGTGTATGATTGTAAGATGGGGATGGACTGAACTTGTTTTAATTTGTCTTAAGAATGCAATTAATGACTGTAAAAAGGCTTATCTCTTGGTATATGGCATAGTTTATTTGCTGAAATTGACTTTTTTCTAGTTTTTATAAATGCAGGTTAGGGTGAAGATTAAGGTGGTCACAGGTACTCCCAGTGGTGCTGTGGCGGCTGAAGCGAGATGGAGTGGTTCCCATTGGGTCATACTGGACAAGTAATTAAACATGAAAAAAGTATTTCTTTTTTCTGAGCTATTAGCTTATTTAGTTGATTGCAAATATGTTTTCTTATTCATTCCATGCATGCCCCGTGAACGATGTCAATTACCTTTACCTAGAATTCGACACATTGACAGGTGATCTCTTAAATATATTTTTTGCAGCACATTTGCATTATGAGTTTTATTATAGGCTCAACAACTGATTAAATATACTTAAGAGCCTTATATTATATTATATTAGGCATTGCATAGGGTTAATCATTCAATTGATATTACGTTCATTAGCCTCAACTATTATCTCACCATCCAAAAGAAGCAATTATTACCTACCAGGAATCACCTTGTTTGAACTGCTTAATAGGATTTAATTGAATAACTGTGTCTGTATCACATGACTTCCAATCAGAAATAAGTAGAATTGTTCGGTGCTGCATGTCCAAATGAAAATATTAGTTAGTGAACTCCTTCCGTTGTTGAAACAGGAAATTAAAGCAAGAGGTAAAGCATTGCATGGATGAACTCAACTGTAGCATTGTGGTGATGAATGGCTCACAGCCAAAAGTCCTCAGGCTTAACTTAGGGTGCTCCAATGAAATGCAAACTCCTTTTTTCTCTGCTTCTTCTTCACCAGGTAAAGAAATTGGAAGGCTAAAAGGTCGCAGATTGAAGCATTCCACTCCAGTGAGTAGTCCTGAAGCAGCAGGTTCTTCTATTACAAGAAACATGGGAGAAAATTCGGTGTCAAGTTCTGACTCAACGACTCCTCTTTTCCTAGTCTATGAACAAAACCCTCTGTACGAGGGTCAGGGACAACACAAAAGAACACACAAACCAATCAACAAGCCAAAAGATTTCAACGTTCAGCCACCATTATACTTTAATTTGGAAAGGGATCGCCCTCTCACTTCTTGGACAAGCCCAACATCATCTGTGGCTAGTGATAACAAGACTGTACTCTGGATTCCTCAAAACCACATTGTAAATGACAAGCTTCAAAAAACTGAAAACAAGAGAATTATCCAAAGAACTAAATCTCCAACTTCTAAAACTTTACTTGAGAATTTTATTCATTGTGATCAAGAAATGAGGACATTTGAACTTGGGTTTAACCAAGCTCAGAGTAGAAGTTATGTAGCCAACTCGGGCGTCAGAGATAATGCCATTCCTTTGGGTAGAACTTCCTCTATACCTCCTCCCTTATGCTCACAGTGTCAGAATAAAGCACCAGTATTTGGAAAGCCTCCTAGACGGTTTTCTTACAAAGAGCTAGAAGAAGCTACTGATATGTTCTCAGATGTGAATTTTTTGGCTGAAGGTGGATTTGGTGTGGTTCACAAGGGAAAACTCGAAGATGGCCAGGTTGTTGCGGTGAAACAGTTAAAGTTCAGTGGCTCTCAAGCAGATCTTGATTTCTGCAGGGAAGTTCGGGTTTTGAGCTGTGCACAACACAGAAATGTTGTATTGTTGATCGGATTTTGTACAGAGGGAAATTTGAGGATATTAGTCTATGAGTACATATGCAACGGATCCTTGGACCTCTACTTACATGGTATTCAAAAACTTTCTTCACTTTAATTAACTTTTTAATTCCAATTTTTTTAAACTTTTTTAGGATCCCTTCTCTCTGTTTCAGGGCTTTGTAGTTTATATTTGAATATTCTTTCCATCAATCCAATGAGAATTCACATCGAAGTCTATTATTTGCTGTATATTAACAGGAGAAGAGATTATGTCTTTGGATTGGAACTCACGCCTAAAGATAGCGATCGGAGCTGCACGAGGCTTACGGTACCTTCATGAAGATTGTAGAGTTGGTTGTATAGTGCACAGAGACTTTCGACCTAAAAACATCCTCTTAACCCATGACTTCGAACCTCTGGTATCTTTCTGGCCCTTCCGCATTTGTAAAGAATAATGCATTACAGATCAAATAAAAAAAAAAATTAAGTACTGTTGAATCTAACCATACCATTCATTAGGTGGCTGATTTTGGGCTTGCAAGATGGCAATCAGAATGGAACATAAATTCTGAAGATCGCGTTATAGGAACTTCCGGGTATTTTTCTTTCTTCATGCATGTGTGTAGACATGCGTAGTTAAGATATCGGGCATCATAGTTCTGATTCTAATCAAGCTTGCCTTGCATAAACCTAGGTATCTTGCACCGGAGTATCTTGATACTGGAAATCTTACGTATAAAGTCGATGTGTATGCATTTGGAATAGTTTTATTAGAGTTAATAACAGGTCGAAGAATTAGTGAGTTGGAACAGTTCGATGGACACTCCTATCTTTCTGAATGGTTTCACCCGCTACGCATGTTAGAAGCCAATCATATCATGCAAAACCTTCGATCTCTCAATCCATGTTTGGATTCTGAGGCGTCACTGGAATTTAATCTTCAATTGCAGGCCATGACACGGGCTGCTTCACTGTGTCTACGTCTGGACCCTGATGCCAGACCCCCAATGTCAAAGGTTTGATTGGCTTGGGTTCTTTAATAAAATTTGGTTGCTTTTTGATTAAATACAATATATTTAGTAAACCTCTTTTTTTGGTAATTGTAGATCCTCAGAGTGCTGGAAGGGGGCGATCCAGTTCGTCCTAGGGGTTTATTAGAAGGTTTAGACATGAATTCGGTTGGTAACAGAAGTGGCCATTTAAGTGGTTTAACTTCGCACGCTACACCTAAAGGTACAATAAGTCATTCCCGTAGGTTATCACATTGATCATTCCTTCGGCTCTTTGGCCAGAGGATCTATTGTTGGCAATAGCATAGGAACAATTCTCCATTTGAAGCGTGGATCTCTCTCATATGCACATAGAAACAATCACACCAGCACAGTAATTGGTGGAAAGAAGTCATTATGTTGGCCTTTTCATTTAAAATAGAATTGTTATTTGGTGGGAGGTTTATGGACAGTTTTGCTCAATAGCAAAAAATTCATGTGACGGGATCTTTCTCTTTGCTCTATTTTCTCTTGGAGCATGATGGAATCCCCAAATAATTGTACATCGCGATGCCCTTGATAAGTGTAATATATATATATATATATATATATATATGTATATATATATATATATATATATGGGGGAGGGATCTTTTGACTCTAGAGTAAGACTTACAAGTCTTACTCCCTATCTCAACCATTGATTTTCGTCCATCTAACAGTTATCTATACCAATTAATTAATTATTAATTCCAAATAAATAATAACCATTAAATGGACAGAAATCAATGGTTGAGATGAGGAGTAAGACTTGTAATTCTTACTCTAGAGTCAAAAGATCTCTCCCCATATATATGAGATGTGTCAAATTTAAAATTTGACACTTCATCTGAGAGTCGATAGATCAAAAAAGATCAATGGTGTCACAAACTTACAAATCAGAGTCGTTGATCTTTTTTGACATTGATCCTGCCCTATATATATATATATATATATATATATATATATATATATATATATATATATATATATGGGCTTATCGTTTCTCAAGCTGCTTGAGATATATCTTCGGCTACTAAATCATAACCGTACAAAGATGGATCAATGGTGATAAATGAAGAGAGAGAATAAGAAAATCATAACCATTCAAATATGAATCAATTAATATAAGGAAATAAATAAACAAAACAATGTAATTTTAGGATGACCGGAGATAAACTTATCTCAAGTTGCCGGAGAAATATTTTTCCCTGTATATATGTATGGCAAGATCTTTTGATACTGGTGTAAAACTTTGAAATTTGACACTAAATCCTAACCGTAAATTCAATATATTTTATTCAAATAATAGAAAGAATTAAAAAAAATGAATAAAAAAAGCATATTTGAATTAGAAACTGAAAAAAAAATTGATTTTCTCCGATCAATGGTTATAATTTTCACCAATCAAACTTATTAATTAATTATTAATTCTCAATAAATAATAAACGTTGATTAGCGGAAATCAAATGTTAGGATTTGGTGTTAAATTTTAAAATTTGACATCGGCTGTGTGTGAAGGACAGATCAATGGTAATGAAGGAAGAGAGAGAAAAAGGGAATCATAACTATTCACTGTGTGTGTGTGTGTGTGTGAAGGATAGATCAATGGTAATGAAGGAAGAGAGAGAAAAAGGGAAAAAGGGAATCATAACTATTCAAAGGTGAATCAATTAATATCAGGAAATAAATAAACAAAATGACGTAGTTTCGGGGTGGCCGGAGATAAACTTATCTCAAGTTGCCGGAGAAATGTTTTTCTCATATGTATATGTATATGTATATATATATATTATAGGATTCATCTGGTGTCCAGTCACTGGATATAAGATTTTATCTAGTCACTGCATTATAATTATGTACTCCGAAAAATATATACCGAGGTCCAGATCAAACTACCAAAATATGTTTGAATCCGGGTAAATTAAATCCAAAATCATAATTGGGCCGGCTATGTAACCTTGGACGTGAAGATAATCTTTAACATATTATGTACTCCAATAGCTCGAACATTCAAGCTACCGAGCTGAGAGGCAACTGTTATGTACCCATGAAAGACTAATATTCTATAAGTGCACAATAAAGGGAAGTTCATGTAAATAAGGAAAAGAATCATTTATTAATGATAATCTTATCCAGACAACAGTACGGATGGACTTGGGCCCTCGAATTGGTGGTCAAAGAGGTCCAGAACTCCATTGCCCACAGATAAACCCTATAAATAAGAGGTAAAACCTGTAGGTATGAGGTTAATCTCTCTCTACTATTATTAAGCTGTCACTAAGCACACACACACCACCTCTTTAACAAAACACTGCTACACCCGGTGCATAGTGATCTACAATCCTTTAAGACATCTCACTCATAGATATTCGAGAGAGTACATATCCAATATCAATACACTAGCTTCAAGCATCTCTATCCATTTGACATAATAGGGCAAGTCAAACTCAAAATATTTTTCAAAAGTATGACTAGTTTAAGCTAAAGTTAAGCTCAAAATATTTTTCATAAGCATACCTTGTTTAAGCTAAAGTTTACCTCGGCTCAGCTCATTTACACCTCTAACAATTAATTTTTATTTGATCTCATTATTTTATCTAACAATTGATTTAATAAGTGAGCATCTTCTTTATTTGCAAACTTATAGTTAAGCGACAAAGTTTCTTCATTAGCATAATTACATATATAGTTTACGAGTTAGTCAACCAGCTTACCTGATCAAGTAAATTATTATAAATTGTGAATTATTCTGTGCTACGACGAAGTATCTTCTAATAAAAGTCTCACGTCATTTTCCTCAACTTGAGAAAAACACAAACTCATGTTGAATAGTAACTAAATACATAGCTCCTCTAATGAGTAGAACAAGTAAATACGCCACAGTATATGTTTGGAAATTCCCATTGTTGCTGGTTAATCGAATAGTGATATAATTGATCTTCTTGTTATGGTTTCAAGATTAACTTCTTCACCAGATAATTCTGGCCATCATCATAGGCCTTTTGTCTACTCCTTTTTGAAGAACCATTGCTCAAGTTAATCTATGATCCATTATAACGTCCTTCCAAATGTTCAAGACATCTATGATACAATTGACACCGCAAGATTGCGTGAAAACAAACGAACCTAGCACTAGACTAAGCCTCAAAGATTTACAACCAACTTTTGTCGTAATTTTATTTTAATCGTACAAAGAACTTCCATTACACAAGACAGTTGAGGGTTTTTTGTACCCAAGGGCAGAAATGGGCTAAGGCCTGACCAGTCTGAACGTTTGTTTGAGAGTTGGTTTTAGGAGGGAAAGAAAAGGAAAGGGAGAGTTTTAGTAAGTCATTTTCTTGTTTGTGAGTTTAAAAAAATAAGAGCAAGAAATTAGAGATTTTTACTAAACTCTCCAAAACCCTCCAACTTCTTAAAATTAAAGTTTTCCCAATTTAGGGAGTTTAAGGAGAAAAATATTAAAAATTATATATCTACCATTAGCATTAAAATGTGAAAATTACATAAATGTGAATCATTTTTAAATGTGACATTATTAGAAAAGTCTCAAATACCGACAGAATTTATCGACGAAAAATATTTCGTTAAAAAAAATGATAAATTTTTTGATGAAAATGATATACATAAAAAAAAATCTGTCAAAACTAAAGACGAAATTAGAGACAGAATCAGATTTTGCCATAATCACTGACATAAATTTTTTACGGATAAAAAATTCAGCCAAAATTATTGATAGAATCTCAATTCCGTCGAAACTTTCAACGAAAATATTTTCGTCCAAAATTTTGACGAAACACATTTCTATCGAAAAGTTTCGACGTAAAACAATTACGTCAAAATTTTTTACGGAAAACATTTCCATCAAAAATTTCCGCAAAAAAATTCGACGAAAAGTATTTCCATTAAAACTTGTGACTAAAAATATTTCTATAAAAAAAGTTGACGGAAATTTTCTTTTGTCAAAATTCTTTACGAAATCTAAATTTCGTCACAATATTTCCCTCAAAATATTTCACAAAAAACATATTCATCGAAATTTTTGACGAAATATATTTCTATCAAAATTTTCAACGAAACACATTTCCATCGATAATATTTTACGGAAAAAATTTTCATCAAAATTCTTTACAGAATTCAAATTCCATCGAAAGTTTTTTATAGAAACATTTTCATTAAACTTTTTGACAAAAAAAATTTCCGTCAAAATTTTTAACAAAACACATTTTCATTGAAAATTTTCGACGGAAAATATTTCCGTCAAGTTTTTTGATAAAAAACATTTCAATCAAAATTTTCAACGTAACACATTTTTGTTAAAAAATTTTGACAGAAAATATTTTCGAAGAAATTTTTGACGAAAAATATTTCGATACAAAATTTTGACGAAAAAAATAATCTGTCAAAATTCTTTATAAAATCTAAATTTCGTCGAAAGTTTCGAATGAAACATTTCCCTAAAAAAATTTGACAAAACAATTTTCGTAGAAATTTTCGTTAGAACACATTTCCATCGAAATTTTGAACGGAAAACATTCCATCAAATTTTTTGACATAATTCTTTTTTTTGTTTAAAACATTTGATGGAGGAAATCATTTTCGTGAAAGCTTTTGACGGAAACTAAATTTCGATAGAAATTTTTTTTTTGTAAAAATTTTCTTCAGAGAAAAATTCCATCGCTTTTTAACGAAAACTATTCTGACGAAAAAAATAATTTTTGGATGAAATTGTGATCATTTGCAATGTAGAAATTTCATCGAAAATATGATATTTTTTAGTATCGTGAAAAGTACATAAATAATTTTGTTAGAAATTTTAAATTTAATTTAATTTGTAAAATATATTAATTATATTAATTTAAAAAAAGGGTAAAATGGTAAAAATATCTCATTAACCTTCCATTTTTTTTCCTTACCATTTTTGTAACTCACAAATAAGGGAAGGGAATGTCCTTCAATTTCCTTCCCCTCCCTCCCTCTTAGATCTCCTTCCTTTTCTTCCCCTCCAAACTCCCAAACAAAGCCTAAATCACAAACAAAGTTTGAGTTTGGCCTATGTACTTGGAATAGATTTTGAGTAAATCCTAATCTGAAAACTACTTTTTTAACAATACCTTTAAATAGACCAAGAGACTTACCCCTAAATAAGTTAAAAGAACTATATCTTTACGTAGCACAACAAACCTAAACCTTTAAATTGATCATAATAATAATATTATTAAATAGGCCAACCCATGATAGATAAAAGGCATTTTTTATGACTTAAACCTTTTAGACCAAACATAGATCAGGCTGTAATAGTTTCTTGAAAACAAACAAAATAGATAAGATTAATCCTTAAGAAAATGGTAAAATTTCAAAAATAAAAATAAAAATAAAGA